AAACAACTTGGCTCCTGCAAATGCAAACTCCAGCACTCAATGAAGTCTTAAGATAACAGCATTATATTAAAGTAAAACCATTTTCTTTAAAAAGAAAGAAGGTGCAAATGTTGGTTTTAACAAAGAGGTGATGAGTTGTGGGCAGCTGGGCTCTGACAGTTGGCCCAATCAGTAATGCCTTTGTTCTGGGCCCTGAGAAGGCACTAGGGAGAGCCCCAAAGCCTCCAGGAGGCAGGAGGGAGGAGCAGGATGCAGTGTCCCTCCATTCAGGAGCAGCCAGAAGCTCTGACGTGACAGACAAGGAGGAAGATGGGAAAAGCAGGTGTGTGTGGAAGTTCCACCGGAGCCAGACGTCCACTCCTCCTCCGGGTTAGCTGAACATGGTGTTGTGCTGTTGGGTCACCCGGATAAACGTTGCCCTCCTGCTGAGCTCTTTGAGTTTGGCGGCCCCCACATAGGTGCAGGTAGACCTCAGTCCCCCAAGAATATCCAGAATAGTGTTCTCTACGTTCCCTTTGTAAGGCACTTCCACAGTCTTGCCCTCTGAGGCCCTGGGAAAAAAAGGAAGTTTTTCTTTTTATCTAGTTTCTTTTTCCTTAAGAACCCAGCTAGAATCATTCCCAGCTGTAGCACTCTTAACTACCCCCAAGGCCCTCCGGTTGCTAGATGCCATGTGCCGACCCCACTCCCTCATTCCCACCCAGCACCAGGCTGATCATGCCAGCATCTCAGACGAATGCCTTCCTTGCCCCCACACAGGGCACAGCCTCATTGCTGGCTGCCCAGCATGCTAGGAAAGGGAAAGTCTCAGTCAGCAGCACCCAAAAGAGTTGTAGAGTTATCCATCCTGCATGATGACATTCTCAGTAACGTGTTTCCACTCCACCTGGAACAGAAACCAGCTCCACCTTTCCCTTCTACCTGACTATATATGCCAACCTCCAGATGACCAAGAGCCCAAATGCCCACTGGGGAAGCACAGACCTGGCAGATCACCTCTTGGAACAACTACCTACCACCACCTCTGTTTGTCTTTCCACATGAACCACAGAAAAAGCCCAGAGCTTTGCCCTCCCGTATGCCTGTTCCACAACTGGAAACTGAGTGTCCTCAAAGGGTGTGACCAGGAGAAGGATACAACATGGGCAACTCGGGCTCTGCTAGGTTCTGTGAAAGCCTCCACCAGCACAGCCTGCCTGTCTTTCCAGGGTGGCTTTTATTGGGGACACCCCCCACCTCCCAGTTCACTGCCCTGTGCTCTCACAAGTCACTACACCTGTCACCCTGGGCATGGTGGGGAACCAGAGTACAACCAAGAGCTGTCTTAGCACTGGAGGCTTCAGGGCTTTGGATAGCATCCGTCACATTTTCAGAGGAGCATTCAGAAATTCAGAAGGTCTGGCAGATGGCATGAATGCTAAGCAACATCTATGTCCCTGCTGAGTCCCTCTCTCCACCAGGCCACCAAGTAACCTTGCTTGATTCCTCATGTCAAGTCCCCTTACTACAAAACAGAGATATAGTCCAGACTAGCTTTTGCAGGGGAATTACAAGAAAGAAATGAGAACTCTAAGCAAAACACTAGCTCTCACCTGAGGGCCAGTCAAATTCTAACAAGTACCCAAATTCTGGAACTTTCTGTAGCTGTTCTCTTCAACTGGAAAAATAGTATCTCTTGATCAGAAACTCATCACCTAGAATTTCAAAAGGGTGTTAACTCTTGTTCATTGAACATGCAAGGCTACCCTTGGGTGAAATCTTGCTACTTCAACCATCAGCTAGAGCAAGGGCTGGCCTAGTGGCTGGTTTAGAGCACCAAGTCCATGAAGCAAAAGTCCCTGGCCACAGCCAGGATGGCTCAGGTCTTGGCACTCTGGGACCAGAGCCAGGCCTCTGTGCCTGCAACGATTGCCATTTCATTTTCTTAAGACATTTCCATGGCTTTCCCAGGGCTTGTTGGAAAGTATCCAGATTCTCACCGTTGCTTCTTTGCTAAGCTTTTGCAAGTCATTGATTATTGATGCCTAAGTCTGCTCATCTGTAAAATGAAGGTACTTTGATCTGCCTCCCAGGGACAGCAGATTGGAAAGGATCTAGCAAAGCGTAAATAACTATGTCATAATTAAATATAATGTCAAAGGAGGGAATCATTCTCATGACAAGATCATGGTCATGAGGCTGCAAAATACCAGACAGACATTGAGAGGCTGGACAGATACAGCCTGCAGGGCTCAGGCTACTGCTGGGTTAAGGTTGATTCCTTCAGCACTTTCCTTCCTCATCTAAGGTTTGTATCTACTTCCAGAATTGAGTCTTGATACTCCTGAATTTTTTCTTTCTGTTATGTCTAAACTCGGCTGAAATTGCAGAAGATGGTTTTTCTTTTGGCTCCTTGGCTTCTGTTTGGGCTAGAGCCTGGTGTGGCCTTGCCTGTCTACAACTTTCCTTAGAATTAGAACAGATGCAAAAAAAGCTAGAGGGCAAAAATGGACTCCAGGCAAAGCATCTACAACCTAGAATTTCAAAAGGATGTTAACTCTTGTTCATTGAACATGCAAGGCTACCCTTGGGTGAAATCTTGCTACTTCAACCATCAGCTAGAGCACGGGCTGGCCTAGTGGCTGGTTTAGAGCACCAAGTCCATGAAGCAAAAGTCCCTGGCCACAGCCAGGATGGCTCAGGTCTTGGCACTCTGGGACCAGAGCCAGGCCTCTGTGCCTGCAACGATTGCCATTTCATTTTCTTAAGACATTTCCATGGCTTTCCCAGGGCTTGTTGGAAAGTATCCAGATTCTCACCATTGCTTCTTTGCTAATCTTTTGCAAGTCATTGATTATTGATGCCTAAGTCTGCTCATCTGTAAAATGAAGGTACTTTGATCTGCCTCCCAGGGACAGCAGATTGGGAAGGATCTAGCAAAGCGTAAATAACTATGTCATAATTAAATATAATGTCAAAGGAGGGAATCATTCTCATGACAAGATCATGGTCATTAGGCTGCAAAATACCAGACAGACATTGAGAGGCTGGACAGATACAGCCTGCAGGGCTCAGGCTACCGCTGGGTTAAGGTTGATTCCTTCAGCACTTTCCTTCCTCATCTAAGGTTTGTATCTACTTCCAGAATTGAGTCTTGATACTCCTGAATTTTTTCTTTCTGTTATATCTAAACCCGGCTGAAATTGCAGAAGATGGTTTTTCTTTTGGCTCCTTGGCTTCTGTTTGGGCTAGAGCCTGGTGTGGCCTTCCCTGTCTACAACTTTCCTTAGAATTAGAACAGATGCAAAAAAAGCTAGAGGGCAAAAATGG